CCCGACTGCAGCGGCGACTCGCAGGAACTGATCGATCTCGTCCCCCTGCGCTTCGAACACATCCACCGCCGTGACTGGAAGCATCCTAACGGGCGCCCGTGGGTGCCTCACCACCCACACGCGCGCGAGATGGCACTGCATGACCCCGACCCCGACGGCATCTGCAGAGACTGTCATACACCCACAGCCTCGACGAGCGCGATGGCCGGCCGTGGCCTTGCCGCCATCGCCGAAGCAGAGCGGGAAGCACCGCCTGAAGAAGGGCTGTCTCATCTGGAGCTCGAGACAGCCATGCGCATCGTTTTCGGAACGGAGGATGCTCCCCTCCCAGGACCTGCATCACAACATCTTCACGGAATGCTGCGAGGCGTTGGCGTAGGGACCTTCGATGCGGACGGAAATCCGCGACCCTACACGCAGGAGAAATTCCTGGAGATCTACTCTCATCAGCGCGACTCTACGAAGAAGCTCACTGTCGCACAAGAAGAAGAACTGGCGCGACGCGAAGCAGAAGAACTTCGCCAACGGAGCCTTGCGGAGTCACGCGGAACATTCGCCTGGAGCGGATGGGGCGAAGAAGAGAGCGCCTCCAATGAAGGGGGGTGGGGAAGCGCTGGCGGTTGGGGCACAAGCGACACTGGTGGCGATACCGGCGGATGGGGAGCCGCAACCGGCGGCGCCACTGGCGGTTGGGGAGCAGACACCGGCGGCAACACCGGCGGATGGGGCGCAGTATCTGGCGGCGAGACGAGCGGCTGGGGAGCCTTCTGCGAGGACCAAAGGGGAGAAGAGGAAGAGACTGAGATAATTGAGGCCGAACCTCCTGTTCTCCCTCTTGGTCGTCCTCCGCGCCGCCCTGCATTTGCACTGCCGCCACCTGACATCCCCCAAGGAAGTGACCCTTGGGACACCATCGACTGGGGGAACGAACCGTCAACCCCGCGACGTTCCATCTACGGGCTTGCCCCCGAGCCACGCGAACCTACATTCTTCCCGGGAACCATCCCCGGAACCAACATTCCCCTCTCTGTTATCCTTGACAGTGAATTCCTCGCGCTAAAGTTGACAACGACGAACGGAGAAGAAGAAGCAGAAGAAGCAGCGGCGACACCTGCTCAAGCACCTGATGAGGACCCCGTAGAAGCACTCGGGCGCTACATGCGCACCTCCGGATTTCGCGCCGACGATGCCATCTGGCACCAGCGCCTAGGTCACCCATCGCGCGTGACTCTGAAGAACTGCATCGAGGCCGGCGTATTTGCGCATGGCGCACTCCTGCGCCCTGATGGCACCGCAGTAAGGGCCGCGACACATCCGCGCAACTGCATCGTCTGCCCCGAAGCCGCGCTGAGCCACCAGCCGTTCCCCCTGCTAGAGCCCGGAACCAACTGCTACACCAAACTGGAGAAGGTGTACAGCGACTTCCTCAACGTGGGACACTGCGGCATCAACGACGAGCTCTACACACTCAACTTCTTCGACGCCGGAACGCGCCACGTGTGGGTCGTAAACGTGGAAGCACGCAGCAGAGCATACGAAGCATTCCGTCTGTGGCTGGCGCACGCGCAGCGACAATCTGGGGAGAAGTTGAAGATCTGGCAGTCCGACGGCGCGGCGGAATTCAGGAGCAAGGAGCTGCAGGACTACCTCGCGCAGAAGGGGATCGAGCACCACATCTCTCTCCCCTACGCGCACCAGCAGCTGGGCGTAGCAGAGCGCACGAATCGTACTCTCATGACGAAGGTGCGGGCGCTAATGAAGCAGTCGAAGCTTCTGCCGATCTACTGGACTTACGCAATGCACGGTGCACAACCTGCTGTCGACCACCGCGAACACCGGGAACTCCTCACCGCATGTGAAGTGGACGGGGAGGAAGGGCGACACATCCATGCTCCGCGTGTGGGGATGCATGGTGCAGTACCGACCGCCAACATCAATTATCGGGAAGTTTGCCAGTCGCGCACGCTGGGGGATCCACCTCGGCATCAGCCACGAGCACAAGGCATGGCTCATTTTGGAACTTCAGAGCCAGAAAATCAAGAACGCGCGCGACGTCATCTTCTACGAACGGCTCTTTCTTCGGCAATTCCGCGAAGATGAGCAGGCGAACGCAAACCGCGTCTACGCCAACGACAGTCACAGTTACGCCTCTCCTGAGGACGAAGCCACAGCAGCAATTCTGGAGCAGGACCCCAAAGGCGAGTTCACGAGAGGCAGTCGCAACGACGACGACGATGACGACGACGATGACTAAGGAGAAGGAGGAGAGGGCACAGCAGGAGGCGCAACAGGAAGAAGCGGAAACAGCGGAAGCGCAGCACCACCAGCACCTCCTGATCCTGAGAGTGACGACGACGACGTGCAGGAAGTCACTCCACAGCATCGCCACGACAGCACAGTCACCGGACTCCAACTCCTCGGGCTTCACACCGCCACCTCAACGGCGGCACGCGTCATCGAGCCGAAAAATCCTCGCCAAGCACTTACAGGACCACACAGCAAGGAATGGCGCGAGGCGATGGATGCGGAAATCAAGGCACTTGAGTCCCGCGATACCTGGGTGCTCGTCGATCGAGCGGCAATCAAGGGGAGAAGGATTCTCTCCGGGAAATGGGTCTTCAAAGACCGCAGCTGACGGCACGATTGAGCGATTCAAAGTGCGCTGGGTAGTGCGTGGCTACGATCAGAAGCATGGCATTGACTTTGACCAGACATTTGCACCGGTCAGTCGCCACACCTCCGTCAGGATCCTCCTCGCCATCGCTGCAGCACGACACCTCCCGCTCCGACAAATCGACGTGAAGAACACGTTCCTATACGCGTTAGTAGATGCAGTAATTTACGTGGAGCAGCCGCACACGTACGGTGAAGGGGACTCGCGCGTCTGCCAGCTGAGAAAGTCCCTCTAAGGGATCAAATAAGCGCCAAGGCTCTGGCAGCAGTACCTGCACAACATACTGCTTGAAATTGGGTTCAAGCAGTTGCCTCACGATCCTGGGATGTATCGCCGCGATTTCCGCGACGAATACATCCTACTCACGGTCTACGTCGACGACCTCCTCTACACAGGGTCAAGCAACGAGTTGCTTGAGCAATTCGAGAAAAATCTCGCAGGGCGCGTCGACATCACCTGCAATCATGACGTGAAGCAGTTTCTCGGGCTCAACATCACCTACTCGCCGGAAGCCATTCATCTCTCAGCAGCCAGGAGCTTAGCAAGCGTTTCAACATTGCGCCTGCACCACTCTCCACCCCTTACCGCACTCCAGGACCCAACCACAAGCCTGACAACAAAGCCCTGTCCCCTGCTGGGCTTCACACCTACCAGCAGCAGTTGGGATGCCTGCTCTTCGCATCCGTTACCTGCAGGCCCGACCTCTCCTACATCGCAAGCCAGTTGGCTCAGTACTCTCGCAAACCAACGGCTGAGAATCTGCTAGATCTCCAGCGGGCACTTCAGTTCTTCATCTCCACGCCCAATGTTGGGCTCTGCTACTCCACCATCCCAACCTCGTCCTTCAACCTCATCGGCTACGTGGACGCTGATCACGCCGCTAACCCCGACAATCGACGGTCCAGGACAGGTTTCCTTTTCCGCCTCGAGCCCAGCGGCCCCATCTCCTGGAATTCACAGAAGCAGGAACTGGTTGCCCTGTCATCGGCGGAGGCTGAATTGATCGCAGCAACAGCAGCCGTTTGCGAAGGTCTCTATCTTCAGGAACTGTTGCAGGAGGCGAAAATTCCAGCCTCGGCGAATTTTCGCTTGCACTGCGACAATCAGAGTGCGATCAGGATCGCGAACAAGCCGGGATTTGTCAATCGCACCAAACACATCGCGCTGCGGTACTTCTTCGTCAAGGACGAAGTTGACAAGGGCAAGGTTGACCTAACCTACTGCCCCACGGGTGACATGGCAGCTGACTTCCTCACGAAGAAGCTGTCACGTCAGCAGTACCAGCATTGCTCCGAACTCAGCGGAGTAGTCAAGCAGGTCAAGACTCGCTACGGCTAGGAGTGAAGGGGGGTGTTACGAATAGTGATTATTGCAACACTATTGTGCACTCCTCACCGCAGCAATCGAAGCACGCACTACCGAGAATGAAGGCGAACGGGCGGAAGTGACACGAAGGGTCGCACGGTTACGAAAGGATCTGGACCGTCGGGCAGACAGCATCAGGCAGCAGCAGTGGCGAGGATTCTGCCCGAACAGTCTCGTAACTGTCTGGAGTCGCACGGTTGGATTTCGCTGCAATAAGGGAATGTACCCCTTAGAGTACATGGCTAGCTAGGTCGTTTGGTATTCCCTTGTAATCTTATTTATAGTGCTGTATTTGCATGCTTTTATTATCTCAAGCATTTACATTCACTCTGCTATTGAGGTCAAGGGCCCACCACCACTAAACTAGTAGTGTGCGAACCTCCTTGAGGTGATCCTGGTTACGATCAACTTCTGATCGCAACAGAACTAACAACATATGAATATCAACATATGAATATGTTTTGGCAGATTGCTTGAGATTCATTACATCATGGTGTGGTAAATGAGAAATTTGTGCGGTGGAACTGAAGGGCCAAGTACCGCAACGCTGTATCAAGTTGAAAATCTGGCTACTGGTAAAAGAGCAGTGGTGCATGACGCTACTCGGACAATCAGAAAGAGACCTTGTGAAGGAGAGCAAGCAGGACACTGAATATCAAAGTGGTGATAGACTATTCAATGAGAGATACATACGTACTCCCCTCCCCACAAACAAAGGAGTAAACACCAAAACCAAAACGGCACCAAGTTATTCCCTCCTTCCCCATCCCTATTCAGCAAGCAGAATGAACTACATTACACACAAACTACCCTCATTCCTACCCTCATCCACCCTGATCAAACTGAGGCATGCAGCACCATAGGGCGCCACACATACTTCAGTACAGCAGTTAAGGTTCCGAAGCGGTACAGCCCATTCCACTGCGGTTCCACCCACACAAAGGGTTGTCCGGCCCCCATTCTACTTCCTCCTGAAAAGGCCAGCGAACCCACCCCAGGCCTTCTTAGCAGCATCCCCAACCGCTCTACCTGCCTTGTTCACCCCATTCTTTACTGCGTTTCCCGCCTTGTTCACCTCATTCTTTACAGCGTTCCCTGACTTGCTCACCCCATTCTTGATATCGTTCCCAGCTCTGTTCACCCCATTCTTTATATCCCTCCCAGCCCTTTTCACCCCATTCTTTATATCCCTCCCAGCCCTGTTCACCCCATTCTTTATATCCCTCCCAGCCCTGTTCACCCCATTCTTTATATCCCTCCCAGCCCTGTTCACCCCATTCTTTATGTTGTTCCCCTCCCCGCCTTGTTCAACTCTTTCCCCACAGCCTTTCCGGCTTTCTCCCCTTCCCTCTTGATGTCATCGTAGTGCTCCGCCGCCATATTCAGCCCCGCCATCACCGGCTTCGGAGCCACGGTATTCACCACGGCGTTGAAGTACTTGTTCTGCATCACCTTTCCGATCACGCGCCCAACCTTGCCCGTTTTTTCAATGTCTGCGCCGACCTTACCCATCATGGTAGGCCCGTCTCCCGCCCCCACAATCGACAAGATCCCGCCCATGGCCGACCCGCCAGCGGACGATAGAGCTTTCTTCGCCCCATATTCCAGCGCCTTTTTCGCCGCCTTTTCGGCTCCCTTCTTCGCCAGGTCCTCCCCGCGCTTCTTCATGTTGTTATTGATCTGCGGCTGCCACCGGAGCCCTCTGCGGGCATCTCCGCCGATTTCCGCCGCCCCGCCGTCAAATGCGACATCCTCGAAGTCGCTCTCCTCGTTACTGTTGTCGAAGAGAAAAGGCCCCGCCCTCGCTTGGGCGAAGTCGACCTGTCAGAAGTAATGAAACAGGAATGAATGAACTAGCAGGAAGTTGGGTACAAGTAGGAAACCCTAAGTTTGTGTACCCCCTAAGGCTAAACCCACTATAGCCTACACAATGTAAACATAAAATGTTTGACACACCCCCATAGGCGAAGTGGGAGACAACCAGAGGGTCACAAGACCAGTCAAAGAAAAGCAAAGCTCAGGGTGGATCTCAACGATACCACACAAATTCCGAGCACAAGCAAGCGGTCACAAGACCAGTTCACATGCAGTTTGATAATAAACAAGAGGTACAGTGATCACAACCTAGCAAGTGTAAGCATGCAGGTATATATATAGAGATCACAGTACAAGCAAAGTCAAGAAGTGAGCAAGTGAGGGACAGTAGGCACAAGGCCTAGAACAGTACAGAAACGCTGATGATCACAAGGCTGAAGCGCCTTGGTGAACACATCAGCAGTGTTGGCCCGAGTGGCCACGTACGAAAGACGAAGCTGACCACGCTGCTGCAGCTCTCGAGCAAGGAAGTAGCGCAGAGCGATGTGCTTCGTTCTGTGCTCCAGTCTGTGCTCCTGACACAAGGCAAGGGCGGCCTTGTTGTCGACGTACAGCACTGGAGGAGAACGAGGCCGCTCTCCCAGGTCGGTCAGCAGGTAAGTGAGCCAGCGAAGCTCCTGGGCAGCCATGGCTGTGGCGTAGATCTCAGCCTCACAACTGGAGCTGAGAACAGAGGAAGAGCGTGTAGAACGCCAAGAAACTGAGCCAGAGCCAAGACTGAAGGTGTAACCCTGAGACCTCCGCTGAGTAGCCTGGTCGTCAGCCCAAGAAGCGTCTGAGTGTCCAGTGAGGACAACGTCGCGCCGTCCTCCAAGCACAAGCCCCATGCCCGACGTACTGCACAAGTAGCGCAACACCCTCTTAGCTGCATCCATGTGCTCCTTCCGGTGACGGCCAGGAGCGACATAGCGTGCTAGGATGCTAAGAGGGTAGGCTAGGTCAGGTCGAGTGCAGGTCATCAGGTACATGAGGCAGCCCACAAGCTCTGGATACGGGCCACTCGGCTCTACGGACTCATCCGAAGGTAGAGCTGAGAGCGAGTGACCGGTAGGCAGAGGAGTGGGCTGAGGCGAGGAGTACGTGAAGCGGAAGCGCTGAAGGACCTGCTGCACCATGTGTGACTGAGTCAAGGTGATGGTGCGCTGTGCTCTGTCCCGGGTGATCCGCAAGCCAAGATAGCTTGTCAGCTCACCCAGGTCTGTGCACGTGTGTCTCTTCTGCAGCTCCGACTTCACGTGGGCGAGTGCCTCAGTGTCAGCAGTAGCAAAGACCAAGTCGTCTACGTACACGAGAACGTAGAACGGCGGCAGAGTGGTGTCGGTGCGTAGAAACAGCGACGGGTCAGCAGTAGAAGGAGCAAACCCAAGAGCAGCAAGAGTAGTCCTCAGTGTGTCGTGCCACTCACGGGGCGCCTGGCGGAGACCGTAGACTGGCCGCCGGAGGCTCCACTGGGTACCAGGAGGGAACGACCCAGTGAAGCCAGGTGGGCGGCGCAGCCAGATCTCCTCGTGCAGGGTGCCCTGTAGGAACGCAGTGCTGAAGTCAAGGCAGTGGAGCTCGTAGTCACGCTGAGCAGCGACGTGCAGCAGAACCCGAAGAGTGGTCATCTTCGGGGTCGGGGAGAAGGTCTGAAAGAAGTCAACTCCCTCTCGCTGACTGAAGCCTCGTGCAACGTAACGCGCCTTGAAGACAGGCGGAGAACCTGGCGGCCGCTTCACCCTGAAAATCCACATGCCACTGACAATGTTCGCCCCAGGTGGGGGAACCTCGTCGACGTAGGTGCCTGTGGACTTCCAGGAAGCCATCTCTGCGTCCATAGCTGCCTGCCACTGAGAGGAGTAGAGACCCTCCATCGCCTCTGCGTAGGAGCGTGGGGTCGGGATGTCTGGTGCATCCGGGTCTCCCTCAGGGGCAATCAGCATGGACACAAGATGAGGTAAAGCAGCAGCAAAGCACTCAAACTCCTCCTGTCTGTCCTCAAGGACGTCCGTGCCAAGAGCACACTCACCCCCGACGGACGGAGGACAGACAGACTCAGACTCAGCGACAAGGCTAGCGGCGTAGTCTAGACGACAGGCGGCAGCAAAGTCAACAAGCTCAACGACTAGAGCAGACGCAGCAGAGGACTCAAAGGTAGGGTCAGTGACAACAGTGGCAAGGAGACGCGCGACAGTAGGACTGGCAGCACGAGTAAGGTCTGACGGCGGGTCGGCAACGTCAGGAAGAGAGGACGCAGGAGGAGACGGCAGAGGGACGCGCTGTGGAGCAGTGGAAGGACGCAGGGTCATATAGTGAGTGCCTAGGACAGGAGGAGGACGCTCACGTGGAGCACGACGACCAGTGCGGGCAGTGCGGACAGGCGACTCTGGACGAGACTCAGAAGACGCAGGACTAGACTCAGGCGACGGAGGACGAGACTCAGGCTCACGACGCTCCGTAAGACTACCCGACGGCGCAGTGTAAGGAGAAGGAGCAGGCAGAGGAGAGGCAGACTGTAACTGTGACTGCGACTGGACAGACGGTGGACTCAGTAGGGGAGGAGAAGGACCAGCAGAGGGCGGGAGACCAAGAACCTGCTGAAGGAGCGGAACGTAGTACGGCCGCGGCCGCTCAGCAACTCCAGCTCCAACCCCCTCAGCAGCTCCAGCACCAGCAGCACCACCAGCAGCACCAGCACCTCCAGCAGCTCCAGGAGTACCGGCACCAGTAGCACCTCCAGCAGCACCAGCAGCACCGCCAGCAGCAGCAGCAGCACCAGCACCAGCAGCACCTCCAGCAGCACCAGCAGCACCGCCAGGAGCAGCAGCAGCACCAGCACCAGCAGCACCTCCAGCAACGCCAGCAGCACCGCCAGCAGCACCAGCACCAGCAGCACCTCCAGCAGCTCCAGCAGGACCAGCACCAGCAGCACCAGTACCAGCAGCACCTCCAGCAGCTCCAGTAGCACCTCCAGCAGCTCCAGCAGCACCAGCACCAGAAGCACCAGTACCAGCAGCACCTCCAGTAGCTCCAGCAGCACCAGCAGCAGCAGCAGCACCTCCAGCAGCGCCAGCAGCAGCGCCAGCAGCAGCAGCACCAGCAGCACCAGCAGCACCAGCAGCACCGCCAGCAGCTCCAGCACCAGGGTCCGCGACGCGAGGAGCGCCACTCCGGAGACTGCAGTGCCGAGCGTACCACTCTCGGAGCTGCTGGGGAGAGGGCAGCGCCCGCCTAGGAGGGGAAGCACTAGCACCGGCTCCAGCAGCACTCCTAGCTCCAGAAGCACCTCTCCTGAGGCTGCAGTACTGTAAGTACCACTCACACAGCTGCTCTGAGGAGAGAGCTCCTCCAGGTGTAGCACTCCCAGGCTCAGCACCCCCAGACTCAGCACCCCCAGGCTCAGCACCCCCAGACTCCGCAACCCCAGGCTCCGCACGCTCAGGCTCAGCACCCCTAGCAGGACGAGAGTCGACAGCTACCTCGACAGGCTCAACCGGGTCTACCTGGGACACACCTGAGGGAGCGGCACCCTGAGGGGGGAGGGGGTCTACCACAGCAGCACCTGGCGCGAGGAAGAGAGGCGGGGGGGGGGAGTGGGGCAGTGCGGTAGGGGAAGAGGCGGTAGTAGGGCACCGACTCGTCAAAAGTGACGTCCTGAGAGGGCAGGACACGGCGCGAGGTGGCGTGGTAAAACTGCCAACCAGACGCGTCGGGGACAAAGCCAAGGAAGACACAAGGAACAGCGTGGGAGGAGAGCTTGTCCGCGGACGTATCGCGGACAAAAGCTCGAGATCCCCAGACCCGGAAACGCGACGCATCGCCAACCTCCCCCGTCCACAGCAGTGTGGGCGAGGTCTCCGGCAAGGAGACACGGGGCCAGAGGTTGAGCTGATGCGCAGCGTATCGGACCGCAAACGGCCACAGAAAGTGGGGGGCAGCTGCATGGATCAAGGAGGTACGAGCGACCTCCATGACCAAGCCAATGCGGCGCTCAGCAACCCCATTCTGCTGTGGAGAGGCCGGAAGCGTGAACGACTGGCGGATGCCGTGCTCCGCACAGTAGGCTGCCAAGAGGTCGGAGGAGAACTCACCACCTCTGTCTGAGTGCAGACGCAGGACAGGAAAGTCCGAGCGGAACCGCTCGCTGAGCTGGAGACGAGAAGCGCGGATCCAAGGGATCAAAACATCAGGGACCTCACCCTTGGTGCGCAAGGGGAAGACCGTGGTGTAGCGCGAGTAGTCGTCAACAACGATCAGGAAGTACCTCTCCTGACCCTGTCCACGGACGCGGGCTGGGCCCCACACGTCCATGTGGAGCGTCTGCAAGGGAGCGGTCGTCGGGGGAAACGAGGAGGAGTGAGGAGCGGCGCGCTGCCGCCCCTCGACACAAGGAAGACAGGGAGGAGCAGGCGAGGGTGGGAGGGGAGGGAGTACCCGGGGAAGACCAGAGACAAGGTACCGTTTGTGCATGGCACGAAGGCGCTACACTGACGGGTGACCAAGGCGGTGGTGCCAGAGGACAGTCTCGTGCGCCAGAGAGCGACACGAGCAGGGGGCAGACAGCTGACCTGACGCAGACGCAGACGCAGCTACCTGAGGGGACTCAGTGGTCAGTGTGTACAGGTCTGACCCCGGCTGCCTAGTGAAGGTAGCCAGGTGACGGCCCGTCCGAGCACACGTGCAGTGTGTCACGCGCTCGTAGGCAGGGGTGAACTGGTGGACACCCCCGTCCTGGAGCGCACAGCCTGCCACCAAGTTCGTAGAGAACGAGGGGAGGTGAAGACCTGACAGTGTGCCCGACGGAACCGCAGGAC